TTGCTTAATTTGGGGTAATGTCAATAAAAGGATCGCATTATACTGCATTTGTGTCTAGTGTTAATTTTATTCTTTTGTTAACTTGTTAAAATTGTTTAAAATAAATAGTTTGGTTAAAAAAATTGTTAATTTTTTTTTCTTAAATTCTCTAATAAAAAACTTTAATTTATTTCTTAAAGTTAGATTTTTTTGTTTAAAAATTTAAAAAAAAATTATTATGCAGGTGATATGCGATAACCCAAATTAAAAGTTAAAATCTGATCTAGCATGTCAACCAGCCAGACAGTAGCCAACCAGCCAGACAGTAGCCAACCAGCCAGACAGTAGCCAACCAGCCAACCAGCCAGTAGCCAACCAGACAGTAGTCAACCAGCCAGACAGTAGTCAACCAGCCAGACAGTAGTCAACCAGCCAGACAGTAGTCAACCAGCCAGACAGTAGTCAACCAGCCAGACAGCAACCAACCAGCCAGACAGTAGTCAACCAGCCAGCCAGACAGCAACCAGCCAGCCAGACAGTAGCCAACCAGCCAGCCAGACAGTAGCCAACCAGCCAGCCAGACAGTAGTCAACCAGCCAGCCAGACAGCAACCAGCCAGCCAGACAGTAGCCAACCAGCCAGACAGTAGTCAACCAGCCAGACAGTAACCAACCAGCCAGACAGTAGCCAACCAGCCAGACAGTAGCCAACCAGCCAGACAGTAGTCAACCAGCCAGACAGCAACCAACAAGCCAGACAGCAACCAACCAGCCAGACAGTAGCCAACCAGCCAGACAGTAGTCAACCAGCCAGACAGCAACCAACCAGCCAGACAGTAGCCAACCAGCCAGACAGTAGCCAACCAGCCAGACAGTAGCCAACCAGCCAGACAGTAGCCAACCACCAGACAGCAGCCAACCAGCCAGACAGTAGCCAACCAGCCAGACAGTAGTCAACCAGCCAGACAGCAACCAACCAGCCAGACAGTAGCCAACCAGCCAGACAGTAGCCAACCAGCCAGACAGTAGCCAACCAGCCAGACAGTAGCCAACCAGCCAGACAGTAGCCAACCAGCCAGACAGTAGCCAACAAGCCAGACAGTAGCCAACAAGCCAGACAGTAGCCAACAAGCAGGGATAAAAAGATTCTCATTAATTCAAATTAACCGAGTGGCTTTAGAAACGGGATGGAGATGGATGCTAGTGTGACGGACTTTATATAGACGACTTGACGTGGGTCAGTGCCTCTCTCAGGCTGCTTCTTCACACGTCTCTGTGTAATCAAAGATTTTCCCGTGACAGTAGCTACAGTGTGTCGTCTGTTGACTAATATGACTTTACACAAAGTTAGTGAGCATCTAAATCGATGAGAGAGAGAGAGAGAGACAGACAGACAGAGACAGACAGACACACAGACAGAGAGAGAGACACAGACAGAGGCAGAGACAGACAGACAGTGACAGAGAGAGACAGACACAGACACAGAGAGACAGAGAGAGAGATACAGAGAGAGGCAGAGAGACAGACAGAGAGAGAGACAGAGACAGACAGAGAGAGAGACAGACACAGAGAGAGACAGATTAAATAACTTTCTCTGAGATATTATTCATTACTTTGCCTGTTATTAAAGTTACTGGTTGTCAAGCGCACTTGTCGGTATAATGTTGTGCCGAATAAGTAAAACTGGTCACTTAGCAAGAACTCCTCTAAAATTAAGTCCTTCCTAAAATTTTGTACCAAAAGATCCTTAGGAAACTTACCTAATACAATGATGTACTTTTTCGTTAGGTACTGAATTATTTTTGCGAAATTATTGCATACACAAATTTTTGCTTGCCTTATTCGGCAAAAAGAGTTGGTATTTAAGCCAAAATCGAAAGTGTTAATATATATATAAATAAATTATATATATATATATAATAAATATATATATATATATAATATATATATTATATATAATATATATATATATATATATATATATATATATATATATATATATATATATATATATATATATATTATACACGAACGGTAATTCCAATTCGCATTCATATATCTGTTACATAAACAGTACCGGCAATTAATTTTAACCACCAATCACCATCGCCGTTACAAACTGCGCTATTTCGTTCATTAAAATACGTTCTTATTCCTGTTTACAACGTCTGAGTTGCCCGATATTTTTTCTGTCCAGGAGAGTGTAGAGGAACTTTTTTCCGCAACAGCATGTTCAGCATTTGCAAGATGCATGACTGCCGCCTCCTAATGACCTCGTCAGGTTCTCATTAACCCACGACAGGTACCGCACCACCTACTTCCCTTAATTGCTTATAACTGCTTTATGTTCTAATTAGGTGCTAATTCTATTTTTTAATATTATAAATTACAAACACTTGCAACACATGACGTTTACATATGAACGTTGAATGGAAGGTAAATCCATATGCAATTTGCAATAATTCTTGCTTTATGAATTCGAAATACAGTGTGTGTGTGTGTGTGTGTGTGTGTGTGTGTGTGTGTGTGTGTGTGTGTGTACAGGAGGATTTATTTTGTGTAAACTCTTCTCAACTTTCCATACAGAGTGATTTTGTGCATATGCGTCTGAAGACGTACACACAAAAATGATTAGCAAGTGAAAGGCCTTGATGGTACGCGCTATTCAATTATCAGTGCACTTTCTTTTTAACAAGTTATGAAAAATCGCACTGCATAAATTTGATGAAAGATAACAGTAAACGAGTGTGCAGTTATTGTATTATTATTACAATCATAACAGTGATAACCAAACACAGTTTTAAGACGAAGTTGAAGCTTGTGGGGGCCAGGAGCTATGAATCGACCCTTGCAACCACCAATAGGCGAGTACAAATAGGTGAAACACACACACACACACACACACGGATGTGCATACCCTCCCCTCCGTGAGCGTTTTATTTTAGTCCCAATTTAATGATTTAAGTATTAGTTACAGGTTGTGTTCAGGTGATATCCAGAGTTAATGGCCCTCGTGTACTCTATAGCCTAAGCCTAAATAAACTAAATACGGTGTATTGTGTGTCAGTGGGCTCACCGATTCGAGTTTGCACGGTTCAACTCCTTGCTCCTGGCCCTGCATTTAAGGCTTCGGCGATGGTAGTACTTTTTTTTTTATCTCTTGAGACTTGTCGTACCTACTTGCAACGCTGTGGAAAAAGTTTGCTTCCAATGCTAGTTTATATCACCTCTCTTCCATCTCAAGATGGGGAAAAATGTATTTCCCTAACATCCCTATGTTCCATCCGTGTTTGGAATTTTTATCCATTTCTGTTCCTTTCTGGACCAAATATTTAAAAAAGCAGCTAGCTTGAGCCTTTTATTAACAATTTACCCTACGATACACATTGTAAACAAACTAGAATGTTATCAAGTCTTAAGAACCTTTACAAAGATCTTTAAGTCTCAAAAAAAATTCTACACAGCAAAACATTGTTCCAATAATTCTATATCCTGCAACCTATGTCTTTTATCTTCACATTATAACCATACCCAAGCGCTAAACCCTCTCGCCTTCGTACATGTCTGCAATCCACCGGCCCGGTGACAAACCGGGCCACGGGGGCGTTGACCCCCGAAATCCTTTCCAGGTATACTCCAGGTATCATCCACCTCAGAGACGCTTCATCCAGGCGGAAGCCCCAGTCACAGCAACCCTTGCCTAATTACATATCCACTGGAGCTGCTAAATTACTCCGGTCTCGCCGTATCTCATTTTAGCTAACACACGATAACACTTAGAAAAAACACAGAAGGTTATTTAGAGCTGAAATTACTATAATCAGGGAGAAACGAATCTTAGGTAAGATGATTAATTCAGTGAGGATAATGGTATTTTCTGGTCTCATGGTGAATGTAATATCAGCCGTGTAATCTAATGTGGAAATATTTGCCTTGTCGGTATAAAGTGTAGAGTATTATTATTTTCATTATTGTTAATAGTAATAGCAGCAGTAGTAATAGCAGCAGTAGTAATAGCAGTAGTAATTTGGGGTGTTGAAAGCCTGTCTACTACACTTGGGTTATTAAAGATTGCACATAACCTTCGCAGAACATAGGCCGAAATAAATTACTTCCCACGCCTATTCCCTCCTTTCCACCTCCGTCCCTTTCTCTTCCCTCGGAAGTGGAAAAGGCAGAGCGACCCTCCATCCCCGTATTCCCATCCCTTTCTTTTTCTTCCTCTTCCTTCTTATCTATCACCATTTCCCTGCCGTCATCGAGGTGATTATCTCTCAGTTATCCATCTTCTTGCTCCTCATTACCATCAACATCTTTCTGGTAATCGTAGTCATTATCACACACCCGTTATTATCTTTTCACCGTATTTTTACCTACAAGAAGAAAGAACAGAAGTGCAGAACACGCTGTTATTTGGAACAACTCTTCGCTCTGTGTGGAATTAACCAATTTTGGTAACCCTCTAAACTGAGCGATAGTCCCAATATCGTGCGTCTTCTCTTAACGATAGTCTTTTGTTAAAATAACACCAACGTTGGCGGAAAAGGCAATGAGTCCATAAATGGATGACAGACGCATGATCATAACTATTACAGTACCCTCTCACTCACAGCTTTATCAAGTGAAAGTCAAACGTGGCAATAATTAGATCTCACGCTGTTTCTGCAGCATCTCTTTAGGAACGTCAACATGGGAAAATCTTTTTACCTTCGTATGCTTAAACCAGTTTATCTACAAACGCTGTTGAGGTTAATATAACCTCAATTAACCAATTTTAGCCAATTACAACGCACATTAGCACCAGTATGTCAGTGGAACGCCTTCCAACTGAACAAAAGAAACTAATGGAAAAATAAATAAAGAAATGATTTAGGAAAAACAAGAAAAATGATTTGAGAATTTTACTTAAAATTTAAATATAATAAAAAAAAATGGCCTTCAGTTCTTGTAGTTGGGTAGGAGTAGGTATGGCCCTAGATAGTTCCTCTGAATGTTATTTATGTAGGTTATCCTGGGCAGATGGTAATCCGATGTTCTGGAATCTCCTACCACTTGGATGGAGCACAAGTAGTATAGGTAAGGGCCGGTAGTTGTAGAATAATGTTAATAAGTACTATTAACACGTCTTGCCCCTTTATCTGGCGTCTATCCTGGAAGACCACGCCAGGAACAGAGCTGACAAATAAGAGAAAATAAAACTGGTTACCCATAGTCATGATAATATAACATTTAAGAAAGAAAAAGAATGATAAATGCCAAAATCATTACTGGTAACCAGCAAACACTAGAAAAGAACAAACAGTAATACTCCTGGTAGATCACCCTACCTGATTAGGAGAAGAGTGGAGGCGAAGTGACTCTCCTAACTTCAGTCCACACCAGGTAAGGTCAATATTACCAAGAGTAGAAACTTTAACAAATCGGACACCAGGAACTAGTTTTGCCCCAGCCCGCCAGAGAGGGGGGGTGAGTGCGGCGCGCAACGTAACTCGCTAATGGTTCCTGGTTGCCCGAACAACCTTAACCCCACTTACACCTACTTTTCCCTCACAATACCCCCTTCCAAAACTTATGGACGGAGTCAATAAGTCAACGAACAGAGGGAAAAGCACTAAATACAACCTCGGCTCAGCCAATCTGAAAAGTGGTTTTCAGAGCCAGAAATATAAACGACTTTAAACTTATAGGGCTGAATAGCCAGAGCCCATCTCAAGAGTCTGCTATTTGACCCTTTAAAGTTTTCCAAGTACATCAGTGGCTTGTGATCTGTTTCAAGCACAAAGGGTTTACCGTATAGTAGTATTTAATCTACTATAACCCCATACTAAAGCATAACATATCTTTCTCCACAGTGGAATATCTTTCTCTCTGGGCAGAAGCTTCTTACTGGCGAAAGATACTGGGAAAGGTGTCTCCTCATAATATTGAAGTAGTACAGCCCCGAGTCCAGAATGGAGGCATCTGTTCGAGACAGAATATTTTATTAATATCTGGTAATTTTAGGACAGGGGGGTTTGAAAATATACTCTTAATTTCTTCGAAGCTTTGGTTGGCTTCCTCTGAACAACTAAGAGGTTCCTTGACACCCTTTTTCAAATAGTCTGTAAGAACTGAAGTTAAGCTACTTAGATTTGGTACGAAATTTCTATAGAAGTTTACAGATCCAAGGAAACTTCTTAATAACTTTTTAGTAGCAGGGAACGTACTTTCTAAAACAGCTTTGGTCTTATTAGGAAGTGGTGAAAAGTTATCAGAGATAACGAACCCAAGGTATTGTACCTTATGATAGCCAAGAAAGCACTTTTGTGGTTTAACTGTAAGTCCATGAGTTCTTAGTCTTTTCAAAACAAGTGCTAGTGTTTTTAGATGGTCTTCCCAGACATTTGTCATGATATAAATATTGTCAAAATACACTGATACATTCTTTAGATCAGAAAGAACTATTCTCATAAGCCTAATATACGTGGCACATGCGGTAACCAAGCCGAAGGCATTGTGCGATATTGCATTAGACCTCTATGAGTAGGGAAAGCATGTATGGTTTCGAGTCTGGGTGTAATGGCACTTGATGGTATGCTTGGGAGATGTCTAATTCCGAGAAGAATTTGCAGTCATGGAATTTATACAAGTCATGATCAATTACTGGCATGGGTTCTGCATCCCATTTAGTTATAGATTTAAATAACGAAAACTTGGGCAAGTCGGTAAGAATTATCGGTTTCTTAACCATAAACAACTGGTGAACAGAAAGCTGATTTCGAAGGTTCTATGATGTTTAAGTTAAATAGTTTGTCAACCTCATTATCAAAAGTTTTCCGTAAGTGAACGGGAACAGGTAGATTTTCCGCTTTTACTGGTTCATGATCCGACAATTCAATCTTGTGTACAATAGTGGTGGTAAGTCCTGGTACCTCTGTGAATACGTCAGAAAATGAATTTACTAAGGCACTTACTTGAGACTTTTGTTTATTTGACAAGTCGTTGTTAATGTTGACATTTGACTTCTTTGGTGAGGATCAATGCGTTAAGATATCCAGTAGTTCCTTCGATTCTGTAAAAGACTCGTCATCTATAATACAAACTCTACATTCGTACGAATCAACCACTTGTATCCAAGCTGAAAGAAGAAGTATCTTCGTCAAAGGCATTTACGCAAAGATTAACTTCTCTTCTATGGTACCGTTTCAAAATTGACGTGAACATTCTCTCTCTAAACCCTTGACATCCAAGATATAATCTACCTTATTGCAGACCTTCACTACTTTATACGGTCCGCGCCATGTAATTAGCAATTTGTTGGATTTGTCAGGTAGGAGAACTAAAACTTCATCACCAACATTAAACGTACGCTTGGAGCTTTATGTTCAAAATAGGTCTTGTACGTTTCCATAGACATCTCTAGGTTTTTACTGACCAAATCGGCGGTTTCCTCCAACCTTTCCCTTAGATCTAAAAGAAACTGATAGCTGTTTTGAACCTCAGGTTTGATATCTTTGGACCAAAGTTCATTCAAAATAGATAGAGGACCACGAGCTTGTCTCCCATAAAGCAATTCAAAAGGGGAATAACCAAGGGAATCACTTGGAATCTCGCGCATTGCGAAAAGAGCACATGGTAAAAATCTATGCCAGTCCGTTGGTTTAAGAATACATAGTTTTTTTAGTATTGACTTTAGGATGGCATGTTGTCGTTCCACTCTTCCGTTACACATCGGATGGTAAGGTGTAGAAAAGAGGTTAACACCCACAGTTGATAAACGTGTTCCATTAATTCTGAAGTGAATTGAGCCCCTTTATCCGACAGAATTTCACGAGGTATACCTACACGTGAAAAAATAGAAAATAAGGCTTCTGCGACTTCTAGGACGTAATGGATTTTAAGGTACCGCCTCTGGGAAGCTGGACGCGTAGTCAATCATAGTTAAAATATATTTATGACCTCCTGATGAGTCGAGGTGTGATAGGACCAACTATATCTACTGCAACCCTTGCAAAAGGGACTGAGAAAATTGGCATCTTACCATAGGAACTCTCCTAGTTCTACCCTTCTGCGTGGAAAGTTGACATACGTGACATGATCTGCAGTACTTATAGATGTCAGAGACATGCTAGGCCAGAAATATAGGTCCTTGATTTTATTATGTCTTCCTATGTGAAAAATGGCCAGAGACTGGCAAGTCATGAGAAATCTTTAAAATAGTTTTCACGGCAATCCTGCGGAATGACTAACAGGCTTCGACCAACGTCATTGGGCTTGTCCGCAGACACAATAGTCTTGTACAAAAGATCGGGTTTGAACTCAAACTGTAAGAAAATTTCTTTCTCTGGGTCACCTTGCCATTTAAAGCTAACTTCCGAGATTCCTCTAAGGAAGGACAAGTCTTTTGAAGACCCTCCAAATCTATATGAGACAGCTCGATTGGCTTTCCTTTGGAAAGAACTAATGGTGGATAGGTTTTACCTTAGACTAGAGCTCTGTAACGACGTTAATATCGAGTCTAGTTGTTGTATAGATTGTGCCACACGTAGTTTCCCACTGGCGTCTGCGTGTCCAGTTCAAGTGACTGACTTACTAAAGGTGTTACCGGAGTTTTGTAACCATCAGCTCTCTGATTTAGGTTACCCAACTGAATCTCATCTGGAACTATCTGTGAAGAAACAGAGATATTAGGTTCCAACCCTTCCTTGGAAACTCCAAATTCCAAACAGTCCTTCTCAGATGGGAAAGTAGCCCCTTGTATGTTCCCAAACCAAAACAGAACATGAGGTTATCGGGGCAACTACAGCATCTACCCATCCTGAGAACCATTTGCACCTAACAAAACATCTGACTGTTGGAAAAGAATCGCTTTCTTTCCTAAATAGTCAGTTAATTTAGTGGACTTATAACGTGAAGAATCTAGGTTAGGGAAAAGCTTACTCGAGATAACAATACAGGAACATCCTGTGTCTCTAAGAATGGTTGATACATTCATACCATTGACTGTACCTCCACTAAAAGGTGCGTTTATGTTGATTCAGTGAAACATTTACCGACATTTCACCTTTTTTTTCTAGGACAGTCGGGCCTTCTATGACCCCACTCATTACAGTTGAAACACTTTACTGTGAAGGCCGTGGAATTCTTAGTACGGAGGGTTTGGACCCTCAGATTGCTTAGCACAACAGGCTTATATCTGCTACGCTCTTTAGGGTAGTTATTATGAGCGCACGCATATATATCAGCAGCTTGTGCCATTTCTGCAGCCGTATGAACGTTACGTTCTTTAATGAATATTCGTAAGTCAGAGTTTACAGAAGAAAGGAATTGATCTCTTACCATCAGGTCTCTTAAAGATTCGAAATCGTGGTCAACCTCAGCACTATCAATCCACGAATCAAATAATCTGAAAAGTGTTGTTAAGAATTGCATGTAATTTTGATGAGGAGTTATTTTAATGTGTCTAAACTCCGACCTGTAATGATGATAGTTTTTTTGAAAGCCTGGAGTATAGCTTTCTTCAGCAGGCTATAAACTAGAAATAACATCAGAGGGTAGAGTGGAATAGACGTTTAGTGCTGAACCTGACAGTAGTAAGCCAAGCCTAGTAGCCCAAGAATCTACTGGCCAGTCACAGAGAGTAGCAGTACTTTCGAATCTCGTAATATATGCCGCTATGTCATCTTGTTCTGAGAAAGGTGTATTTGAGGCATCCTAATATTAGGTTCTTGGGAAGGGTATTCCAGTACCCCTTCATCTATTTTCTGCTTAGATAGTTCTAACCTTCTTGGCTCTAATTCCAATCTTGATTGTTCTAACTCAATTTCCTTCATTTTGAAGGCTACCTCTCTTGCCTGAACTCTATCTTCTCTAGCTATCCTTTCCTGTTCGATTTTATCCTCCCGAGCTAGTCTTTCCTGTTCCTTTTTCTCCTCTCGAGCTAGTCTTTCCTGTTCCTTTTTCTCTTCAATAGCCATTTTAGCAGTAATGTAACTATCAAGGCTTTGTCCAGTAAATCCCATTTCCTTTCCAGCTTTCAACCAGAAATCTAAAGAATCCATCTTGTAAAAAGAAATATTAAGCACCCAACTTCAACTGACAATTAAAATTAACAGTAACGTCTGTTACAAAAGAGGGACACAGTCCGCACACTTTAAACTTCCCAAAGTAGAAAATGAAATAAATATTTCTCCCTGGAAAGAATACACTTGTGGGCTCAATAGCCTTCACTAAGCAAAATACACACGGTTCACACAGGAGGGGTTATTATCAAAGTTCCCCAGGTCCAACAAATAGGTAAACTTCTAAACCGAACCTAGAACCAAACAACGTAAGTCAACCAGACTACCAGTAATGACTTGACACCTCAACTAACTCACCCTTTTCTATCTTAAATGTTATACTCACAACCAGTTGAACCATCAGGACGATGTTGCTTCAAGAGTCGGATCCTGGCAAGGTCGCCATTGTCAGTGGAACGCCTTCCAACTGAACAAAAGAAACTAATGGAAAAATAAATAAAGAAATGATTTAGGAAAAACAAGAAAAATGATTTGAGAATTTTACTTAAAATTTAAATATAATAAAAAAAAATGGCCTTCAGTTCTTGTAGTTGGGTAGGAGTAGGTATGGCCCTAGATAGTTCCTCTGATGTTATTTATGTAGGTTATCCTGGGCAGATGGTAATCCGATGTTCTGGAATCTCCTACCACTTGGATGGAGCACAAGTAGTATAGGTAAGGGCCGGTAGTTGTAGAATAATGTTAATAAGTACTATTAACACGTCTTGCCCCTTTATCTGGCGTCTATCCTGGAAGACCACGCCAGGAACAGAGCTGACAAATAAGAGAAAATAAAACTGGTTACCCATAGTCATGATAATATAACATTTAAGAAAGAAAAAGAATGATAAATGCAAAATCATTACTGGTAACCAGCAAACACTAGAAAAAACAAACAGTAATACTCCTGTAGATCACCCTACCTGATTAGGAGAAGAGTGGAGGCGAAGTGACTCTCCTAACTTCAGTCCACACCAGGTAAGGTCAATATTACCAAGAGTAGAAACTTTAACAAATCGGACACCAGAACTAGTTTTGCCCCAGCCCGCCAGAGAGGGGGGGGGTGAGTGCGCGCGCAACGTAACTCGCTAATGGTTCCTGGTTGCCCGAACAACCTTAACCCCACTTACACCTACTTTTCCCTCACACAGTAAATGCAATAATGCATGAAGGAGAGAAAGATTCGAGCCATGAACATTAAGGGGGTAGAACGGGAGTAAATATTAGACAGTTTAATGTCACAGTTTGCCGTGGCAGCCAAAACTCGAGTTTTGGAGGAATGGATTGGCCACGGAGGTGCCTGGGCGTTCTGTATTACAGTTATCAAAACTAAACGTTAAGCCCACAAGGGTCATACAGCGCTATTTTGTATTGCAAGTGTTGCTTTCCATCGGTTAACTAGACTACAGTGTTTGCTCCGTTGGCCTGAGACTTTGGGGAAAATGAAATGCAGATTGCGGTGTTCAGTGTCGATTTAAAATTACGAGATGTCCTAGAAATCCGAAAGCACAGTACAGGATGTCCTAAAATGAACCCAGTAACACAGGATGCCCCAGAAGACCGAACCCAATAGCACAAGATGTTCCAAAAGACCGAACCCAATAGCACAGGATGCCCCAGAAGACCGAACCCAATAGCACAGGATGCCCCAGAAGACCGAACCCAATAGCACAGGATGCCCCCAGAAGACCGAACCCAATAGCACAGGATGCCCCAGAAGACCGAACCCAATAGCACAGGATGCCCCAGAAGACCGAACCCAATAGCACAGGATGCCCCAGAAGACCGAACCCAATAGCACAGGATGCCCCAGAAGACCGAACCCAATAGCACAGGATGCCCCAGAAGACCGAACCCAAAGCACAGGATGCCCAGAAGACCGAACCCAATAGCACAGGATGCCCCAGAAGACCGAATCCAATAGCACAGGATGCCCCAGAAGACCGAATCCAATAGCACAGGATGCCCCAGAAGACCGAATCCAATAGCACAGGATGCCCCAGAGACCGAACCCAATAGCACAGGATGCCCCAGGAGACCGAACCCAATAGCACAGGATGCCCCAGGAGACCGAACCCAATAGCACAGGATGCCCCAGAAGACCGAACCCAATAGTACAGGATGCCCCAGAAGACCGAACCCAATAGTCACAGGATGCCCAGAAGACCAAACCCATAGCACAGGAATGTCCCAGATAGCGACGAGAAGTCTAGTATAGTGAGGTACGTTATTAGTACAGCTTACCCGTTCTTCTCGTTCTCTCTTCTCTCCGTTCTCTCTCTCTCGTTCTCTCTCTCTCGTCTCTCTCTCTCCTCGTCTTCTCTCTGTCTCTCTCTTTCTCTCTCCTGTCTCTCTCCTCTCGTTCTCTCTCTCGTTCTCTCTCTCGCGTTCTCTCTCTCTCTCTCTCTCTCTCGTCTCTCTCTCTCTCTCGTTCTCTCTCTCTCTCTCTCTCGTTCTCTCTCTCTCTCTCTCGTTCTCTCTCTCTCTCTCTCGTTCTCTCTCTCTCTCTCTCTCTCTCTCCGTTCTCTTCTCTCTCTCTCGTTTCTCTCTCTCTCTCTCGTTCTCTCTCTCTCTCTCTCGTTCTCTCTCTCTCTCTCGTTCTCTCTCTCTCTCTCTCGTTCTCTCTCTCTCTCTCGTCTCTCCTCTCTCTCTCCTCGTTCTCTCTCTCTCTCTCGTTCTCTCTCTCTCTCGTCCTCGTCCTCTCTCTCTCTCTCTCTCCTCGTTCTCTCTCTCGTTCTCTCTCTCTCTCTCGTTCTCTCTCTCTCTCTCGTTCTCTCTCTCTCTCTCGTTCTCTCTCTCTCTCTCTCTCTCTCTCTCGTTCTCTCTCTCTCTCTCGTTCTCTCTCTCTCGTTCTCTCTCTCTCGTTCTCTCTCTCTCGTTCTCTCTCTCTCTCTCTCTCTCTCTCTCCAGCTGTCTTTCAGTTATCCACTGTCATTTCTCCTTTTTTTCTAGCTAAACATTAAATTGGATAACTGTCTACTTTAGACAATAATAAATCGAGTATCTTCTTCTCTATTACAGAAAATCGATCACTCCTGTATTCATTTTAGACAAATCAGTCACCCTTGTAGTCTATTTTAGACAAAATCGGTCGTCTTCTTTACTAGTGTAGGAAATTTTGCGAATTTAATTGCGATTTTCTTCGCTAATGAAGCGGACGATAAGTGTACAATGTCACGCATTTTCCGACCTCGGTTTCCGCCTCATTTATATCCAGGTGGGGTTGAGGGGGAAGTTATATGGGGGGAGGATAGAGGTGGGTGGGGAGGATAGTGAGGGGGCAGTTCGGTAAGGTGTCATTATAATCTCATCATCCGTTTACTGAAAGAGTTTGTTGATCTTTACTGCCGTGTCGCGTTGGGACGACACGCCAGCAAGTCATCACTCGTTAAAATTTAGTCATTATTTTTTCCTATTCAGTTTATGAAACACTAAAGGCTATTTATGTTAATTTTTCTATTGTAATTTTTATTTAATTTTATATCGTCGTTTTCGATTATCCTCGAATTTACATTTTTTCCATATTTTTTTTTTCGTAAAGACCCTGAGATATCCCCCTTATCCTTGGGTTCCATTCTTCACACAAGATCCTACGACCTCCTACAGTGACCTTCAGTGACCTCATAAGCACTCTCCACCCCAGGATGTACAAGGAAATGATCTTGTTGGGCAGGTGTGGCTTAACAAAAAGGAATTTCTATCTTACCCACCGCTGCTCCCACCACCACCTCCATGATAGACAACAATTAGACACTTTCACGAAGACTCAGAACCGTCACCACTGTGCCAGGACCCTCAAGGACCTTCACGAAGGCGTCAGCGCCGAGACGCACCACGGGAGACAGCAAGAGGCAGTAACGCCGACCAGACAGCAAGCACCTATACACAGCTAAAGAGAGAGAATACAAGTGCCTCCTTACCCAGGTACCTGTGAGTGCGACTGTCAACCAATGATAACCTTGTGTACTCGAAGGGAGAACCAATGAGAATCCAAGAATACCTGATGAGGCAAGCTGGGACACACACTACTAGTAAACAATCACAGTCGGTAGTTTGAGGTCTCAACCTTCACCCTACCTTAGCAAACCTCTAGTATGCGAACTATTATATACATATACATACACATGGACAGGTATTTTAGTTAACCCTCACAACACCACAGTAAAATACTGATCTCTTACATTTGATTCTGGAATATCTTGGAGCATTGAGAATATTTAGACTAAATATAAAGATTAACTTTACAGGGGCACCTTATCAAATCGTGAATCAAATTTGCTTAAGATTTATCACGCTTGTGTACATCGGAGGCTATTCGTAGTCTTTTAGCGTTTAGTGTTTGTCGGCTAGTTGATCACCTGCCTCTGCTACCTTGGCTTCTATCACGGGTACCTTGATGCTCCTGAGGGGCTCTTGATTCGTGAATCTGGGGATATTTTCCCCTTTCTTTGCATTAAAACCTAATCCTCCCATTTCCCTAGATGTTGTTTAACACCTATATGATGTCCACTTCCCAGGTAATGGGACAACGATTGGAATACCTGGGGTCCCTCAGTCGTAATTGGAAATTTACACTTGATCTGTATACACTGAAAGATACTTTCCTCTCGATGTATATACTCTGGGAGATTCACAGTTTTTTGGTGTATATTTAGAGATACACAGTTTTCTGTGTGAAAACCTAGAGACACGCATACATCTCACGGTGTATACACTCATAAACATACATCCTTCAGTGTATATTCGAGGATACTTTTGTGTACATACCTCTCACTATCCCCGCAAGCGATATTTAGTAAGTAATCATATTGAGTGGCAGCGTGGCAATAGATAACAGTGAAAAATCTTAGGGCGCTAGTCTCTTGTGCGCCCTCGCTAATTGCATGATTGTGATCTTACGATTGTGATTAATTCATAGATAGGACGGGATTCGATCCCGTGTCAAGCAGAGTCCTAGAATTAGCCTGCCGGTTTTCTAACCACAACATTATGCCGGCCTTAACAAAGAAGAGATTCGGTGAAGTTTAATTCTGTGCGGGTGGACCGCAAAAGCCTGGAGGGAGGAAAGAGGGTTGGAAAAGGTTTATCTCATGACCTAAACCTCCGCTTGAGAGGGCCAAGTGACAAAGTAGGACCAGATATCAGAACTGCTCAAGCGCTAAGAACCTGTCTTCTGTCTTTTGTTGTGAGGAGGAAGTAAGGGGCAAGAGGTAAGGAGAAAGTGAGGTGGAGAGCTTAGAAAAGGGGGTGCGAAGAAGGGAAAGATAAGATGATGGGGAAGGGGAAACTAGCGAAAAGAGGAAGAGAAGATGATAGCGAAGGAAGTGAGGCACGATAGAGGAAGACAGAGAACAGAGAACAAATTTCTCCACATTTAATGGATCGGATCCAGCCAAGAGAAGAGTCAGTGTTATGGCAAAGCTGGTGAGAGGCTCTTGATATAGGGAATTGGATCTGTGCTCCAGTTCCCTGAATTGAGCTTGAATACCTTCCATGCCCCCTCCCCCACGTGCACTGTATAATGCTACGGGTTTAGCGCTCCCCCATGATTATAATAATCTTCCCTCTGTCCCAGTGAACGCCTGTCAACAATTCTTTGGACGAATTGCACACTTGTGCAACATTTGGGTATCTATATTGTGGAAACGTTGCCACAATAAAAATACCCAAGTGTTGCAGAAGTGTTGCAGAAGTGTTGGAGAAGTGCCCAATTCATCAACCTGTCGGTTTTGAGCCAGTTATCAACAATTCCCGTCTCTTGATAGCGTGTCTCTCGTCTGTCAATAATCTAAAAGTTCTTAATAAACAAAGACAGAAGGACCA